AGTCGGAGGAGCGGGGCGGGATGAGGAGGAGGACTGCAGTAGGTTCGCGTCGTGTCGACCCGCGGTGACCCCGCCGCCGGCGTTCGAGGTTGAATGCCCCCGGCGACTCACAATCGGTCGAGGTTGAACGATCTGATGTTTCGTGAACGGCCGATCGTTCAAGGTTGTACGATCCCCGCGGTGTCAGGAACCAACGCCGGGGTCCGCGCGACACGAACCTGTCGTAGGGAAGGGCGGAGGGGGGGAAGGCGAGGGGATACTCACCGAGCGCGTGTCAATACTCGCAAAATGCCCACTCGCAAACATCCGACCAACAAAAACATGTCTTCCTTTGTGCCATAGAGCGTAAATCCCCCGCGTCGGATTCAGGGCCACTTGCGAATAGTTACTCTGCGAATAGTGGAACGCGCCTGTCGGGATGCAACGATTAGGAAGGATTCGGATTCAGAGAAGTGGCCCGTGCTGGGGCGAGAGCGCCATTCTGAACGACGGGAGCAAAGCGCCGAACCTAAAATGAGGCCTATGCTGCAGCGGGAGCGCTTTGCTGATTGCACGGCACACAAGGAGAACAACAACCGCACAAGTCCTGTGAACAGAACCTGTTTCCGCTCTCGAGTGGGACTTCTTCACAAGATATGCCCCATCGCAATTTATTCAGACGCCGCGCCCTCGACACTCAGGAATCACGCTCTCGCCCTGTCCTTTCCTATGATTTATCCGGGAATCGCGCTATCGCTCGAGCCTTCCTCGCGATTCATGCAGTATTCACGCTCCAGCAGCACGCCTTCTGGGCCTGACCGCTTGGGCGCTTGCCTTCCCGACCCCTACCCGCCCGATGGGTCCGTGTGGTTCTGCCACGTGTTTTCTGCGCTTAGCCCCCATCCTGCTGATTCCGTGCTCCATCCTTCTCCCTCCCCCTTCATCCGTCCTCTTTTCCCTTCCTTCAGGGGCTGCACCAGTTACACGCGGCAAGTAAGGAAGATATGCCCCCAGAGGGGGCACGCTCGACGTCGAAGAGGGCGGGTGCCGAGGGTTTGGGATATGCGTGTTGAATGGCACGCGAGCAGTTAAGAGCGAACCGCCTTCATTGCTGTTGTTGATGTTGTTGTTTGTGCTGTTGCTGCTGTTGCTGGTGTTGTTGCTGCTGTTGTTGTGGCTGCTGCTGCTGCAACTGCTGCTGTTGTTGTTGTTGTCGTTGTTGCTGTTGTTGTTGTTGTTGTGGATGTTGTTGCTGTTGTTGCTGTTGTTGTTGTTGCTGTTGCTGTTGTTGTTATCGTTGCTGTTTTTGTTGTTTCCGAGGTTGTCGTTGATGGCGTTGTCGTTGTTGTTAATGTTGGTATTGTGTTTGTTGCAGTTGTTTTCGTCGTTGTCGTTGTTGTTGTGATTCATGTTGTTGTGGTTGTTGTTGTTGTTGTTGATGTTGTTGTTGCTGCTGTTGTTATGGTTATTGTTGCGGTTGCATCTGTTGTCGTCGTTGTTGTTGTTGTTGTTGTTGTTGTTGTTGCTGTTGTTGTTGTGGTTGTTGTTGTTGCTGCTGCTGCTGTTGTTGTTGTTGTTGTTGTTGTTGTTGTTGTTGTTGTTGTTGTTGTTGTTGTTTTGGTGTTTCTGTTGTTGTTTGAGTTGTTGTAGTTGTGGTTGGTGTTTTTGTTGTTATGCTGATTGTTAATGTCGCTGTTGTCGTTGTTGTTGTCGCGGTTGAATTCTCACTATCGAAGAATAGTTATTGTTGATCCCCCCTCCAGTGATCATGGCATTTGTTCAATTGAAATGCTTCCCCCGGGGCTCGCACTCTGTTTTTTACCAGTGAAAGTCACGGGGCTCAAGCTGTGTCGTTGGCCCTCGGTTTACAACAATAGCGGCTCCCGCCCGATTTCTTACAATTTGTATACGGATCGCGCTTTCGTGTGGGGCTTCCTCGCAGTATATTCGAGAAAGCGTGATCCACCGCCGCTTTACTGTGGAAAATCCCCCCCCTCTTCCTTCGGAGCCCGGGGTTCCCCCCCCCTCCGAAAATCCCTCCCCCTGCTGGACCCCCCCCCCGCGGCAAACCCCCCCCCCTCACCAAACCGCCCCCCCCATCCGGAAAACCGGGGGGGGTCACTACCGATTCGAACCCCTGCCCCCCCGCCCCCTTCCCCAGAGAACCAGAGGGGGGGTCACTACCGGTTCGAACCCCTGCCCCCCCCTTCCCCAGAAAACCAGAGGGGGGGTCACTACCGGTTCGAACCCCTCCCCCCCCCTCCAGAAAAACCGGGGGGTGTAACTACAGGCTCGAACCCCCCTCCCCCCCCCCCTCCAGAAAACCGGGGGGGGGTCATTACCGGTTCGAACCCCTCCCCCCCCCACGCTCACCGCCAGCAAACGACTCCCGGGTCCTTACCACCGTCCGCACCACATCCCCCACTGCTGTTCCCAGCACCATTGTCCTCACCACCACTGTCCCCACTGTTCACACCACCGTCCCCACTGTCCTCACCAGTGCCCCTACCACTGTCGCACTGTCCCCACTGTCCCCACCACTGTTCCCACCACGGTTCCACTCCCCACTTTCTCCACGACCCCAATCACTGTCCCACTGTCCCCATTGTCCCACTGTCCCACTGTCCCCGCCGCTGTCCCACTGAGCTGTCCCACTGTTCCCACCACTGTCCCCACTGTCCCCACTGTCCCCACCACTGTCCCCTCTGTCCCCACCACTGTTCCCACTGTACCTCTGTCCCATTGTCCCACCGCCGTCCTCGGTACCGCCATCACCACTGTCCCCACCACCACTGTACCGACCACCGTCCCACTGTTTCCACCACATTCCCACTGTCCCCACACCACTGTCCCCACCACCACCGTCCCCACCACTGTCCCAGTGTCCCCACTGTTCCCATCATTGTCCCCGCTGTCCCCACCAGTGCCCCCACCAGTGTCTCACTGTCCCCACTCTCTCCACCAATGTCCCACCACGGTCCCACTCTCCCCACTTTCCATTCGGTCCCCACCACTGTTCCACTGTCCCCACTGTACCCACCATTGTCCCCGCTGTCCCCGCCGCTGTCCCACTGTGCTGTCCCACCGTCCCTACTCTCCCCATCATTGTCCCACTGTCCCCACTGTCCCCACCACTGTCCCCACAGTACTACTGTCCCATCACTGTCCTCACCACCGCCTTCCCCACTGTCCCCAGCACTACCGTCCCCACCACTGTCCCACTGTCCCCACCACTGTCCCGCTGTCCCCTCACCACTGTCCCCAACACCACCGTCCCCACCACTGTCCGCACCACTGTCCCGCTGTCCCCGCACCACTGTCCCCACCACCACCGTTCCCACCACTGTCCCAGCATCCCCCACCATTGTCCAACTGTCCCGAGGAGCGGGACTTGTGTGCCGGCGGCGAGGGGGGGTGTGTGGAGGGAGGGTTCGAACCAGTAGAGACCCCCTCCGTTTTCGAGGGGGGGGGGGGCGGTTCGGACCGGTAGTGACCCCCCCCCCCTTTTTCATGATGGACTGGGGGGGGGAGGGGTTTGAACCGGTAGTGACCACCCCAGTTTTCGATGGGGGGGGGGACGGGTTGGGAACCCCTAGTGACCCCCTCGGTTTTCCGCCAGCAGCGGTAGAACACGTTCTTTCCAATCAGACAATGCGCCCTCGGCGCTCTGGAATCACGCTCTCGTTTTGGCTTCTCTCACGGTTTACTGGGGCATCGCGCTATCGCTCGAGATTTCCTCGCGATTTATGCAGTACTCACGCTTCAGCAACACGCCTTCTCGGCCTGGTCGCCTGGGCCCGCCTTCCCGACCTGCCCGCTATGGGTCTGCCCACCCGATCTGCCCGTCTGGTTCTGCCCCTTGTTTTCTGCTCCTTGCCACCCCCTGCTAATTTCTCTCGTGCTCCATTCTTTTCCCTCCCCCTTCCACCCGTCTTTTCGTCCCTTGTTCTAGGGGCTGCACTGAATGCACGTGGCAGGTAAGGAAGACATACCCCCGCGGGGGTACGATCGAAGACGACGAGGGCGGGTACCGAGGGTTTGGGATATACGCATTGATTGGCACGTGAGCAGATAGGAGCGAGCAGACTGACACTGATTGTTGTTAGTGTTGTTATTGTGGTTAGGGTTGATGGGTTTGTTGGGTTTGTTGTCGTTGGTGATGATGGCTGTGATGATGCGGCTGCTGCTGATTTCGATGCTGCTGATGATGCTGATGATGATGATGGTCGTGGTGGTTATGATGATGACGACGAGTTGGAGGATGATGAGGAGGAGGTGGATGATTATGATGATGCTGATACTGGTGATGATGCAGACGATTATGCTGATGCTGATGCTGCTGATGATGATGCTGATGATGGTGATGATGCTGCTGCTGCTGATGATGATGCTGATGCTGATACTGGTGATGATGCAGACGATTATGCTGATGCTGATGCTGCTGCTGATGATGATGCTGATGATGGTGATGATGCTGCTGCTGCTGCTGATGATGCTGATGCTGATGCTGATGCGGATGCTTATGCTTATGCTGATGAAGCTGATTATGATTATGATGCTGATGCTGCTGTTGATGATGATGATGATGGTGGTAGTGGTGGGGATGATGATGATGATGATGATGATGATGATGATGATGATGATGATGATGATGATGATGATGATGATGATGATTATGATGATGAGGTTGTTGTTGTTGTTGTTGTTGTTGTTGTTGTTGTTGTTGTTGTTGTTGTTGTTGTTGTTGTTGTTGATGGTGATGATGATGCTGCTGCTGATGATGAGGATTATTATGTTATGGAGGAGGAGGAAGAGGAGGAGGAAGAGGAGGAGGAAGAGGAGGAGGATGACGATGATGATGAGGAGGAGGAGAAGAATGAGGAGGAGGAGGAGAGGAGGAGGAGGAGGAGGAGGAGGAGGAGGAGGAGGAGGAGGAGGGGAGGAGGAGGGAGGAGGAGGAGGAGGAGGAGGAGGAGGAGGAGGAGGAGGAGGAGGATGTCCATCTTCTGTTCGCCGCCGAGGAATATTCGAGGATTTCTGCGCCAGATTCAAGACCGCTGTCGAGGCTCTGGGACCCAAGCGGAACGTGCTCATGATCGGTCGCCGCCACTACGACTCCGTCAAGGCGTCTGTGGACAGCTGGGGGAGTTCAGCATCATATTCTTCTGGAGGGGGCAGGAAGGGGGTGGAAGAGGATGATGATGATGAGGACACTTTTGCGATCTAAGGAAGGCGAGCTGAACCACAGAGTTGCCGATGCCAACGCGGCTCCGCCGAACCCTGGCCGGAGAGGAGGAGGAGGAGGGAGCAGGGGAGGGAGGGGAAGGACATTACTTGAGCAGGGCCGAGGGTCAGAGAGCGCTTTCCTCTGGAGGACCACCAACAAAGGGACGTCAAGGTGGTCAAACGCCTCGCCGGTTAAGCCGACGAAGATGTGCAAAGTCCAGCCGTTCGCTTATGTCCAAAGTTTTGGCTTGACGCCGGGTGTGGTGCGTCAATTTCAGCTTGACCGAACAGGTTGATTTCGCCCCTTGACGTCCGTTTGGGGTGTTCTGCAGACCTGACCCCCCAGCCCTACTCAAGACATTACCCTGGCTCCTGGCTCTCGGGGTCTACGGGACCAACTACCAGTTATTCGGCTGCGCCCCTGAAGAGGTGCTCCACTCCACTCCACCCGACCCATTGTCCCGTATGCTTGATCCCAGACTTCAGCCAGGCCTTGATCACAGGTCTGCTTGATCCCTGCATGGCTGGAGCATTCAGTTGCAAGCTAATTGCAAAACCATTCACCTTATTAGCTTCTTCGCGGCTACTGCTGCGCCAGACGGGTGCCAAGTCAAGCTGAACAAGCAACGTCGACTATGTGAGGGGAGTGGGGGAGGTGGAGTGCTCTCTATGTGATGGCCCCTTGACGCAGCACAAACTTTAATGTTGCCAGCACTGGGCTGGACTCGTCATGGACCCAGCACGACATTATCTCGAATATCGTAGTAAGGGCATCCTCGCGTCCTTCCATTTTGACCCCGCACCCAACCTTGTGACAGCGCCGCTCTGGTTCCCTGCATGCCGTCGGGTTCGATCGGGCAAGAGGACGGAGATATGAAGATTGAGAAGAGAGAGCGGGGATCCGATCTTTGATCCACCCTGCAATATTGAGCCCGCAGAGCGGGAGTCATGGCGGGCCCGCCAGGGGGAAGCTCGCATGCAGATTTTGCAATCAGTGGGTGTTAGGGATACTGCCTCGACGAGGGTCGGCATCAATCGTTGCAATGTTTCTTGGGGGCGTCTTTGCGCCCATGGGGGAATGACGCGGTCTTGGAGGCCAGCTAAGGGCCCGTTGGGGTCAATGAGGCACGACGTGCGTGAGTGGTGTGCCGAGTTGAGGCGCCAAGTAGCCGTCTCGTGGGCAAGCTGAGCGCCGAACATTCACGAAGTGCGTGAGGAATGTGCCGAATGGAAGTTTCCATCAAAACGGAATTGCAACTTACTTATTTTACGTCTTCAGGAGCCTCGAGGCCCAAATCAGTTGTTTCATAATTTGCCTCAGGAGCCTGAGAGTGCAGATCACTCGTATGTTCACGCGTCCAAGTAGAATGTGGGGCTGCCGCATGAGCTGTCACGCATATGAGCCGAGCCCAGGAAACGCATCAGACTCGTATTTACACGCCCCAGGATAATTTCTAAGCGTTGGCTTTACCGAAGCACATCGAAACATCATTGGCCGGCGAAATCCACGAGGCCCTTCATATCATGCCTTATGCATGCTTCTCATTTCCCCCCTATCCTCCATCTCATCATCCACCCTCGACGCCTTACACGGCGAGGGCTCGCAGGGGGCCCGCCGAATTCAATCGCTTCGCGCATTCCGCTGACGCATACTGTAGCAATTGGCCTTCGGCCAAGCCCCCACCGTGCTTGGGCCGTGGTCAAGAGGCCTCTTCGAAAGGCTTCTTGACGTTTGGTGGGAGGCCTCTTGGAGGCTTCTTTGGGTCTCCTTGGGCCTCTTGGGTGGTCTTGATGGGGCCTCTTGTGGGAGTCTTGGAGTCCACTGGGGGCCTCTTGAGGGCCTTTGGCGATCTCGGGAGCCATGTTTGGGGGAGGGCTCGACATCTTAGTTAGGGTTGCCTTTCTTGGGCCCATCGTGGGGGCCTCTTGAGCCCTCTTAGGGACGAGGAGGGAGGAGGATGGAACACGAGAGAGAGAAGCAGGAGGGGGGCTAGGAGCAGAACGCACGTGGCAAAACCAGACGGGCAGATCGGGCGGGTAGGCCCTGACAGGCGGGTCGGGAAGGCGGGCCCAGGCGGCCAGGAGGGTTTCTGAAGCGTGCGTCCTGAATCGCGGGGAAGTCTCGAGCGATAGCGCGATTCCTAAAGAACTCGCAAGGACATCGACTGCGAGAGCGTGATTCCTGGGTGTCGAGGAGGCGGCGTCTGAATGCATTGCGAGAGCGCGACTCCTGCATACATTGTGAGGACGTCCCGCGCGAGAGCGCGAATTGGAAATACATTGAGAGGAAGTATCAGGCGGGAGCCGCTGTTGCTTCTCTGGTAAAACACAGGCTGCGAGCCCCAGGAGAAGCACTGTACAGAAACATGCAATGGTTATCGGAGGGGGTTAGCAACACTAAGTATGATACCTCCTCTCTTCCTCGACGGGACGCTCAAGCCTTTTGTGTTCAGGCCGCTCGCGGGGTGGGCTGCAGCCGGCCCGCACTGTACATGCTGCCACGAGCGGCTACTCGCGCAAGGCTCTCACACCACGCGGCGTCGGGCCCTCGCCGTAGGGCTCGCCTTCTCTTTCTTGGGCGACACAGGGCTGCTGGAGTGGGCCCTCGAGTGGCCCATCCTGGCCGCCAAATCGAGTGACCCTCTCTCACGCTTCGAGCGTATCTCCCCGAGGCTGAGCTTCACTAAGTACGTTGGCCTGTCTATGAACTCGGTGCACACATGGAGTCGGATGTACCGCAACACGGGCGGAGGCCAGGGCGAAGTCGTCCTGATGTTGATGAGGCTCTATCCGAAGAGAAAAGGCGACATGAGGTGGATTTATGTTCGACCAAACCGAAGTTTGGGCTCCGTCGACATCAAGGATCGGTCGAGCATCACCGCCAAGCGACAGCCGAACACTACCGACGCCCACTTCCCCGCCCTGTCCGCCGAGGAGAGGACGGCGGCGATCGAGGCGGGCACCGATAAGCAGCTGCGTATGAAGTTTGGCGCTGCACGCTGGCGCTCATGGGGTTCTAGGCTGGGATGGGCCCGCAGTGCTGCGGTCGATATGTGGGCGACGTCGTCGCGGGGCACCAGCGGAGGCCTCATCTTTTTCGCCAGGAGGGCCGCGCTGTACTTCAGGGCCTGGGACTGGGCCAAGTGGACGGTGGAGAAGCTGGACGACACGCGCACATTCCTGATGGAGCTGGACGACTTCAGGGCCTACCTGTACGACCTCTACCAGGACGGTCGGCTGGAGTTGCCGATGTTGCTCCTGTCCTTCCTGATGGCTTTCGCCCCCGTGCTCTGGAGTTGGTGCTGCCGCCGTGGCCTGCCCAGGTTCGGCGGCGCCAGCCCTCCAGGGAACGATGTGGACAGCGATGGGGGGGCCCGGGCATTCGGTTCACGAGTCGGACTCAGAGTCGGAGGGACGCAAGGAAGTCTCGGAGATGAGGAAGATGATGCAGGACCTGATGGAGGAGATGCACCGCGATCGTCGGGACCGTCGCCGCGCGGAGGCGGAGGCCGAGGGAAGTTCAGCTCGGGGTGGGGGAGACAGTCCTCGCCGCTCAGATGGGTCATCCGCGTGGAGTCCTGGGTCGAGCCCGGGCAGCTGGGAGCGCTCCCCATCGCCTGCCGACGTGGGCTTGCATGTCGACCGCGTGATGGACCGCCTGAACCAGTTCGAGAACACCATCCAGGCGGACCGTGCACCAGGAGCTCGCTGCGCGGTTGCATACCAGACTTCGACGGCAGCGACGGCGTGATCAACGGCAACCCTGACCATCAACCTGGACGAGGTCTCGGTGGAGGAGGTTGGGGTGAACATCGGGCCGCTGCGCGAGTCCTTGAAGGGTCCCAGGGTGCGCCTGATGGAGAATTTGACGATGCTGAAATCGGCTCCGACGTTCGAGCTGCCCCTGGGGCTCACGGCCCGCGTCGCTCCCGACCTCGTAGTCCAGACCTACGGCAAGTATGGCAGCATGGGCGAGTTCGCGACGGACTGGGTCAATCAGAAGGAGCTCTACAATAATCACATCGGCCACGATGCTCTTGCACGGCGTGACCTGGGATCGCATGCTGGAGGCCCCCCCCGCCCCCGACTTCGTCGCGACAGCTGGCTGCGAGATCCTGTGTTCGAGGGTCTATGCGCTGAAGCGGGCTTTCAAGGATGCGCGCGCGACGTCCGACTGGAAGCAGCCCCGCGGCGCATTAGCCAACAAGTGGAAGTCGAAGGTGCGTTGGGACCTGGCGAGCGATCTGGACTGGCGCTCCGTGATGGACGGGGGGGTGTCTCTTCCGAACGTCGAGCAGGATCTCGCCGCGCGGCTGCAGCAGAAGGCGCCGTTCCAGAAGTACCTGCACAAGGCGGGCTCCGAGGGCGCCAAGGAGGAGTGGGACTGACGGTTTTCTACGTGGACGTTGTCGCCGAGGCCGAGCCCCCTTGGCGCTGGGCGTGGGCGCCGGCGCTTCGGCGCTCCGTCTGCTTCGACAGCGGCCGCGCGCGCGGGCAAAACCTACGCCCAGATCTTGGCGGAGTGGCTTGGTTCCTTGGCCCCTCCGAGCCGCTGGCGCCCCGTCGACCCCTCGGCGCCCGGTGGCTCGCATCTCTCTCTCTCTCTCTCCAGCTACAATGCCTTGGCCATGGCGACGTCTGGCGCAGTTCCGCCGCCATAGGTTCGACCTCGCGACCGCGATCTTCTGCTGGATATGCCGCAGCCCCCTTGGGGTGTCGCGGCCGACCGCATGGGGCCCGCCCCCCGTGGCACCGTCATCAAGAAGGTGAGGTTTCTGACCGGCGGGCTCATTCGTGTCTTGCACCCCCTCTCGCGGGGGGCGGTGGGGTCGATGACCGTGCTGGGGCCCGCGGCTCCGTGGGAGTGATCTACCTCGCTCTGGAAGATGATGGCCTCGGAGCTCCTGGATTCCTGGGCCCCCTGGCAGGCCGCGTCCGCGACGTCGACGTGGACCTGGGCGCCGCCGTCGAGCGCGTCCTCGCTGGCCGGGCCTCGCCGTG